ATTTTTATGCAGACGATTCCCAGATTTATTTGGCTATGAACCCATCAGACCTCTCCACGCTCAATAAACTTACACTCTGTCTTACAGACATCAAAACATGGATGGCTGATCATTTTCTTTCACTCAACGATAAAACTGAAGTGATGGTGTTTGGACTCAAGGCCAAAAGGGATTTAGTAGTTCAGTACCTTTCTGTTCTTGGTTTTAATTGCACTCATGAAGCCAGAAATTTGGGGGTGACCTTTAATTCTGATCTTAGTTTTTCTAAATATTTTAAGAACATCACAAAAACAGCATTTTTTTTTTAACTTAGGAATATTGCCAAAATCAGAGCATTTATCTCTTTAACCGATGTAGACACACTTATTCATGCCTTTGTCTCCTGCCATCTTGACTGTTGTACCAGATAATTCTTTATTTTCTGGTCTGCCCCAAAGTTTTCTTAATCGTCTTCAACTAATACAAAACACTGCAGCTCTATAGTAACTCTATAGAGTTCTCACAAGATCCCATGAATATCAGCACATCATTCCTGTTCTGTCCTCATTGCATTTCATAAATCTGTTATTACTTGCAGCTGTGGCTGAGTGGTTAGAGCAGTCGTCCTCCAATGCGAGAGTTGGGGGTTCGAATCCACCAGCAGTCACATGCTGAAGTGTCCCTGGGCAAGACACTGAACCCCTCATAGCCTCTGATGTGTGTCCCATCAGTGTATGAATGTGATAAAGCTCTGATTAGTCTCTTTAGAATGATTTGTTTAATTAGTTTTGTAGAGATCTAGTATAGAGCTGTATGAATGGGTAAATGAGGCACAGATTGTAGTGTAAAGTACTTTGAGTATCTTGAAATAAGATAGAAAGGTGATATATAAGTACAGTCCATTTACAATTTACCATTCACTTTCCACTCCCAGAGCTCGACTGTTGCCAGCAGGAGAGAGGGCTTTTATGGTCAGGGCTCCTAATTTTAAATATTAGACAGGCCTCTTCATTGTCTTCTTTTAAATCATTAGTTAAAACGTAATTGTATAATAAGGCTTTTAATACCTGAATTTCTTTGCATTTTTATTTTTCATTTTTGTCATATTGTTATGTATTTTAATTGATTTGGTATACTTTTTGTGTTTCTGGTGTCATTTATGATGAATGTGAAGCACTTTGCAACATTTGTTTACAAAGTGCTATACAAATAAAGTATTATTATTATTATTATTATTATTATTATTATTGTTGTTTTGAAGCTGGAACTGACTGATTACAGAAGAAAACATCTAATTGCTGAAATCAATAGTGTTTGGTTCAGTTTGTCTCACGACTGATATCTCATTTACCTGACTGCTTGATTTGTAAAAATGTAAAACTTGTCCCAACACAATGTGTATCCACTCAACAACTACAGCCGTCAGTCAGTCAAGATGCAGAAAATATAAAAGAAAATATCCTCATTAGCATAATTCAGTCCATTTCATGTGTTATAGACATTTCTAATTAAAGGTACAGTGAGGTCAAATACATTGACCGGTGAACTGTGCTGTTTGTGAATAATTATTATTAACCTTTAATTAACCAGATCCCATTGAGATCACAGATCTCTTTGGCAAGGGAGGCCTGGACCTGAAGGCAGCCTAACGTGCATGTTTTGGTCTGTGGGAGGAAACTGGAGAAAACCCACTCAAGCACTAGAAGAACATGCAAACTCCACACAGAAAGAACCCAGGTCCAACCGGGGATTGAACCCAGGACCTTCTTGCTGTGAGGCAACAGTGCCAACCACTGAGCTTTATAATAAGTAAACCTCTAGACTGTATGAAGTGCAAGAACGTGTTGTATTTGACTCTCAAATCTATAAGGTCAGCATGTTTTGTCTGTGTTTGTGTGTCTGTGTGCATACGACACAAGAAAACGATGGGTCTCGCTGTTATTTGTGGACTCATTAAGTCAGTCTCTCTCACACTTAGAGGTTCTTGCTGGTTTTCCCTTTAACCAGTTCTGTCACGTTGCTTTGCAACGCTTTCACCGAAACCCTTTGGAGCAGTCCAGCCACCCAAGTGACCATGGGCACAGTCCAACCGGTTCTTTCATTCACATTCATCCAGCTCAGAACAAGCTGATCTGCCTGGTTTTAATACAAACGCTTATGTTGCATCACAAATCCACAACTCTTGTTTCTGCAATTCTGAATTATATGAAGGGCTTAACAGGCAGGGGCACAACTAGAAAACTTTTAGAAGGGTGCCTGAGACCCTCACGCACCCTAGGGGGGCACCGAACCTAGAATATATATTTTTGTGTTTTTCCAGCTTGTTTTTTAAGACCGTATTTTCTTCACTCCTTTTTGCACTTGACAGTCATGGAGAGGAGAAACATTTTAATTGTAACCCTCAGCTAAAGATGAGCAGCAGCTACTGATACGAGGATTACATTTGTGCTCTTCAGTTTTACATTTAAAGCAGAGAACAAAAGCTGCAGCAAACATCCTGAAACAAAATAATTACCACACACCACCATCCTGACGTCTGTTAGCATCAGATTTTCACCAAACTTTCAGGAAGCAACTTTGACTTGATTCAAGATGGCCACCACAGTACAGGTATTTGACCTCAGCAAACACAACTTTGTCTACAAGTCAGTTTTTCAGCAGCTGAACTCAAGTTTGATGTGGCAGTAGCTGAGAGGCAGTCCCAAATTGTACTCTGAACGCTAACACATGGAGATTTTTGTTTATAATTTTGTCTTACAAGGTGCCATGCAGCATTCCTTCAAGTCATGCTAGTTTCACTTATTCATCATTTGCTGGCTTCAAAACAATATGTGCGAGATATGCATGACTAAAGTCAGGGGGTCTTTTCCTCATTGCTCCAACGGGTTAGAAGTGATGATGTATTTCTCCTAAAATGAGGATTTATACTCTATATTCTGTAAATTTACTGCTTTTATTCTTTCACGGCTTCATTACTGCGCAATCATTTTTTTTTTATTTTGCTCTTTGTACTGGATCTGAGTGAGATATTTGTTTCATGCACCAGCTATTATAAGTAGGTGTGACACATGTAAATGATGGGAACCCCTTTCATGCATAAATCTCGCAGCTCAAGAGCCAAACATTAGAGAAATAATTTCTGCTACAAGCGTTCTCTGTTTATGGAAAAGCTTTGGGGTGAAATGAATGCAGTGCCTTATTATTTCTTAGCTGTTGAACTCAGATACCTCCGTCTTTACATCCGTGAAGAAAAGCCAAGCCATTGATTTCATGCTATTTTAATCATGAACCTTCTTTAAAAAACAAAAACAAAAACAAAAAAAAAAACAGAATTATGGACATTTTACTTTAACCTTGTAAAAAAAAAAGTTAGAAAAAAATAGGGCCTAAAATAATTGAGTTTGTTGAAATAAGTACGTGCTGCATTTCTACATATTGTTCAAACTTTATTGTTCGAACAGGGTGAAACAAACGATGCAGTCATGAAAGGGCAGTGGAGAGGAGCACGAAGGAGCTACTGGTTACGCTCCACAATGGACTTCTAAAAATAGCAGCACAATTCTTTTTGTTTAAACACTCTTATCGGTGCCTTTAATTGGCTGGATGTGTTTACAGAGTAACTAAAGCGAAGGAGCAGTGTTCTGCAGTGCACCGATGAAAAATTCATCAGCTAATAACACTCACCACAACAGGTCTATTCCTCCTTACAGCACCCACAACTTCCACCTTCACGTCACTTGGCACGAAACCCCATAATAAGTCTCCAGAGTCAAACAGAGGTTCTGAATTATTCATTCAGAGCGAGCATGTAAACAACCTTCTGTTTATAGGAGCACGGTCCAATTCTGAGAAGCCTCATTAAAAGCTGTGTAACATACACTGATCCAACAACGTTTCAGGTGTTTCTGGGACTATCCAGTGAACTTTATTTGGTCTCTCATTATGTGTGTACTGAACATTAGGCGTTAGGAGACGGTGTTTACCAGGCTACAAATTACTTAAGCCAGATAATAAACGTAGGTGGACTTCTCTGTTAAAGGCTTTAAATTACCAATGAAGCTCTGCACAGGCACGGTAAGACAGAATGTCGTGCACTTGTTTTAATTTGAACCAAAGGCCTTTTAGTTTTTAAGTGACGGTGCTAACCGTTACACCCCCATCTGCCAAAACGTTGTGCCGTCAGAACGTCTGTCTGCAGCTCAGTGTGCTGACATGAACGTTCTTGTAATCTTCAGGGTTTTAGCAGACGTTGAGCTTTTAGACTTCACATGTCAAAATAAACTCAGGCTTCCATCTCGACTAAAACGTCACTGTACCAGCTGCAGAAAAGCAACCCCACAGTATGATGGTGCCACTACCATGCTTCACTGTGGGTGTGGAGCTCTTTTTGGTGATCCAGTCCTGTTCCTGCATGACCTGTTACAGCTGCAGACAGAAAGTTAACTTGTGGTTCATCAGACCAGAACACATTTTCACAAATGGTTTTAGAAAGGGTGGCACAGAGCTGTTGCCGGTCAGCAAAAAGGTTGCAGGTTCAAATCCTGGCCGGGGGGCCTTTCTGGGTGGAGTTCGCATGTTCTCTCAGTGCATGTCAGTTTTGTCCAGGTACTCCAGTTTCCTCCCACAGACCAAAAACATGATGTTAGATTGACTGGTAACTCTAAATTGTCTCTAGGTGACAGAGAGTGTGAATGTTTGTCTCGTTTGTCTCCATGTGTCCCTGTGATGGACTGGAGACCTGTCCAGGGTGTCCTCCGCCTCTCACAGTGACTGCTGGACATGGGCACCAGTGACCGCCGTGACCCAAAAAGGAAGAAGCAGGTAAAGATGATGGATAGAATTTGATGAGTTGTGGCAGCAATCCTGAACTGGGTTGACTCAAAAATGGTAATCAGTTGTAGATGTACCTCATCTTCTAAGAGTATCATTAAAATACAGCCAATAATTCATTAAATATGTTGCTAACAGACAAACACAGAAACAGACAATTGCATTATTGCCGATTTCATGAGGGTGGGTAATAAATTGTTAGCTGTTTTTTTTTTCATGTCGACTAAATCTGAACAGTAACAGGAAAACATGACTGAAATATGTTTTTATTCTCAAATAACATAACCATCCGTTTATCCATCTACATTATCCAAAATGATGTAATCCACAAACTGCCAGATGCTGCTTTTTATAGCTTCCTTGTTGTATTTTATATACAAATCTATATACAGTTAATTCAGAAGCGCATACCAAATATTTGACAAGTGATGCTGCCAATCCTTTGGACCAGCAAACAAACACGAAATAAAAATGAGAACATCTCACAAACCGATTCTCGTCTTTCTCCTCATGGTTACTTTAAAATAAAAAAACCCTTACCATTTAGGAGAAGCTGTTAAAAAATAAACATGCCGTCATTCATAGTACAAGTGAGATGTTCACAAAAAGAAAATGCTTGATGGCTGGGATGCATAAAATGCTCTTCAATAAAAATCTAAATTTGCTCTGCAGGTTTCAAGGATCCACTCCTGACTGAGCAAAGACTGAGGTGACCTCATCGGTCCTTCACGTGAGCTGAGCTCTAAGTACTGGGAAGTCAGATGTAGAAAAAAAAATCAGAAAGGACAATGAGTCATAGTACGTTATAACCATCTGCTAACCGGTTTGACGAGTTCTCTGAACCCTTTAACCGCCAAGCCTTTACAATCCAATATTGCTGTGACAAATGATCCAGGTCGTCAGACGCCAGAGATTGCTTGGCTGTTATAGTCAGTGGACTCCATTTTGAGGATGTATGGGATGATGCTGTCAATCTGCACGTTGCCGATGAGCCCCGCGAAAAACAGCTCCTCTGTGACAGCTGCACTTATTAGCCTGAGGGCCGGAAGACGCAGCAGCAGCTTGGATAACCTGGGAGCAATGAGGCAAGAAGGAGAAGCAGGAATGAAATGAGAACATCTGTGACAGCATCACCAACAGGTCCCACTTCATACAACAAGTGTGTTTTCACGTAGTGGAACGGCAAAGCTAACAAACCGGTAAGAGTCTTCTGGGTATGTCCTGCTAACGTAGTCCTGGAGCTCCATGTAAGCTTTTTCCTGGAAACTCTCGATCTGTGGGATATTCTCTACGCCTGGATGATCTAGCACAAAAAGAATGCGTGCACACAGGAAGGAATGAGCACAACTGCACATGCTAATCCTGCTTTACAGAAACGCAGCAAAAATTTAAAAACTTCTCGAAGCATTCCACCCGTCACCTTTCATGGCAGTTTAGGACGAAAATCATCTGATGGCAAGAGATTTCTAGAGCTGTAGACATTTTTGTCAAACTTTAAAAATACTGTTGTGTGTGTGTTCTCATGAAATACTGTGAGATGTAACAGTATGTTGTGGATAAGTCTCAGCTACTACCACGCCAAATTTAAGCTCAGCATCTGTAAAACCGACAGGAGCTAAAGCCATTTTTGTGTTGGCTAACGTTGAGCATTCTAAATTGGATATACTCCAAATTTTAATCAGTTGTAGATTTGCACCCACTGATTATTTCTTGACAGATCAATTAAATTTGGGAATCAGTCTTAGCTACTATTACAACTAATTTCAGGTCAAGGTGTGTATAGATGAGTTCATGACTGAACTGTTTTTGTGTGTTGTCAAGGTCGGTTGTGGCAGCCAACTTAAACTGAGCAGACTCTAAAAAGTTACTCAGTTTAAGATGGACATCCAATAATTACTTTCCACACATTCCAACAGGTACACAAACAAAACCATCATCATCATCCACGTTTGCCTTTTGGTGTCACATGATAATAAAATAGCTTCCACACACCTGGACTAAAAAGTACGATGGCTTTGAGGTAGGCATATTCATAGGAGTCTGGGGACAGTTTGGACATGCTGTTACAGAACTCCTGCATCCTCCAGATGTGCTCCATTACTAGTTTTCCTTTATCTGGAGACAACTTATCTAAACAAGACAAAAAAAACTAAATGTTTAGAGGACATGCAAGAGGCAGAAAATTAGAATAATTTCCATAACGTCTATGTAATTGTACCACAAAACAGCATGACAGATTTAACTTGTTATGTAATCAAAAAACTTCTGGTTCGTATTGCAACACAGTTTTTAGAAATGACTCCTGTAATGAAGCTTTGCAGGCAGACAAAAGCAGAGCCCTCCTACCTTCCTGTAAGCTGGTCTGTAGATGGTTGATAATGGCACTTAGGATGGTACCAACATTCATAACATGAGAACACTGTGCCAGACCCAGGGCAAAAAGTTCATTCCAGCAGGCCTTCATCAAGTTAATGTCGTTGTCTTCATCACTGCTGAGAACAGTTTAGAAACTTAAGTACAAACACAACAGAAACGCCTGACATTTTCCTATTTATATGCAATAATCGTAATGTTTTAATTTACCGTAATTGCCAGTGCATAAGCCGCTACTTTTTTTTTCTTAATCACACTTTGTACCCCGCGGACTCTCAGTAACTTCCTGCTGCTGACTAACATTTTCCTTTAACAGAGGCTGGGTGCTCATGCCGCCCTGCGTCCACCCCTCTTGGGGGCAGACTTTTGTGACACATAGAGAATGCCCTCAGTATCCACATGTACAAAGCCTCTTGCTCAGGGTTTCAAATACCCAACCGTAACTCCACCCACTCTGTTATCATGTGACCAGGAGTCTAACCTGAATGACCAATGAGGTACTCTCAAGGACCATCCCCAAGATAGACGTGCATTAATTTCTTCAGATCGTTCCCGTATTTTGCGCTTCATGCAATTCAGTTCAATTCAGTTTATTTATATAGCGCCAGTTCACAACAAAGTCGTCTCATGGCACTTTACAGAAACATTCACAGACCTGCTCATTTGTTCAGCGATATTGGAAAACGCACAGAGATTTTTTTTATGATGCAGCTTTCAAGTTAAAAGCGATCGATCCGACTGTCGAAGAAGGAACTCGATCTGCCGCCCGTAAGCTTTGCATCAACGTGTCGATGGTCAGGCAGTGAAGACGCAAAGCAGTCAAGTCTGGAACATGTTTTAATTAAAGTTTTTAAATTCTTTCTGTGTGACATTGTTCTCTGTACAGTAAATATGCATTTAAATACTGGCATCTCATTTTAAGCTCACATCTGAGCACAGAGCGGAGGAGACAATGGGAGAGGCTCTTCCTTTCTTCCTCCCTCTCCTCACATGAGCTCTGCTGAGGAGAAACCATGTCAAATTTATTTAGAAAGTACATTTAAAAACAGCAGCTGTTACCAAAAGTGTTTAACAAGAAAAATCAGTGGTACTAATTTAATGAATATTTATCATATTTTACTGGTGCTATTTGACTTCTGGTCACGACCTCCATGAGACTTCTGGGTAATATTTACCGGTAAATATTTTTAAAATAATTTTGGTTACGTAGGTGTTTTGCACCGTTCTGTCCAGTGATTATGCTTAGATAGTTATTGTGTTCATTTTGTAGGTTGAATGGTTGTAACCATGAGTTAGACAGCGAAGCATCATGAAGACTTGTGACCATCATGGTCTGAATGTGTCAAAAACATAATATAGTCTGTGAAACGCCATCTGGTGGCTGATTCTTGTACTACAACAAGAAAGCTGCACACTGTCGGAGCAAGCTGGGCACAGACCCTGACAATGACCGGCTAAATAACCAGAGCATCTTATTTATGTACAAAATTATGATTTATCTTATATTTAGTACGTGCGACTTAGAGACAGGTGCGTTCTGTAGTCCAAGAATTACAGTAGTATCTGTGGGGGAAAAGCAAAACAAAAGTACCTTAAGGTTTGAAAGGCAGGTATGGAGCGTGCCCAGTGCATTGACAGGAACAGTAGCCGGGACGCCGACTCACAGATGTAGTTTACATTGAGGAACTCAGGCACAGGCAAAGGCATCATGAGCTGTCAAAAAATACAGAAATTATTTTAGCACAGAGATAAACCAAGATGACTGTGTCAGTAAAAAATGAAGTATATTTCTATAACATGAGCTGTGATTTAAGTCAAGGGGAAGCAATCGGGGTCAGCAGAATTACCTTGAAAGGGATATGGCCGTCAGAAAGCAAAGGTGCGTCCAGCTCCAGCACAGAGCCTGAATGATCTGCAGACATCAGCTGCATTGTTGTTTCCAACGACTCTCCTTCTGGGCCGTCACCGGTGTGAAGAACTTTGGCCAGTGTGTCAAAAGCTCTGAATGAAACAAACAAAAAGTTTAAAAAGGAAAATACTTTTGAACTGTGCATATATTTTAAAAAACAACTCAAATTAAATACTGCAGTACAATCTCAGCACGTTTTTGACTGACTGTACAAATCCTATTAAATACACAGGACTGGAGTCAGACACCACATGGCCCAGAAGGAAATTCTATTAAAGCTTGATGATAAAATAAATACAGCATCCAGGGTTTTCTTCTTGTGCTTCTGCAGACTTTAAGCAAAACAAACATGCACTGGTCCATATCAGCCTCCTGAATCCCTCTGACAGACCTCACCTAGTGATATCACTCGCTGTTTGGTCATCGTCTTGAATGTCTGTCATTGAGCTGTCACCATTGCTAAGTGTTTCCGCTCCCATCACATCATTCTCGCTGTCACTCAGTTTTCTGGTTTTGTTAAGGTGGGCCAGTGATGTAACCACATTTGCCAGAGTGCCAAGATCCCCTTGAGATGGGTCATCCTGTAGAAAAGCAAACGGTTATTATGAAACCTGACCAAATAAAGTTAAACAAACTTAAAAGACTAATTTAATTAGATTGTATCAGTTACCTTATCAGGGGAGGCTGGAATCAAAATGGTGTTTTCCAGCTTGTGGAAAGGTTGTTGGATGTTGAGCAACATGCTGGACTCCAGTAAATTTGTAGACCTACAGTAAATATTTGATATTATAACCATACAAATTATTATCACTGGAGGAGAAAACTGTTTAAACTTTATACTGTAGACGCTAAACTAGTTTGTTCATACTCTCTAACATTTTCTTACATGTGTACAATTATTTTATTTGTAACTACCTCCCATGAATATATATGTATGTCAAGCTCAGCTACTGAATGGTATCAACAATGTAAACACATGTATGCATGTATAAGGTATGTCATGGTCCAACAGTGTTCAGTTGTGTAGTGTTTCATCTACCTTGCAATTTCCTTGTCAGATTCAAAAGTTGGTGTGGCAGCCAGGGGGCTGCAGAGGTTCTTTCGAATGTAGATCTTTTCGGTGGATGCTGCACAATTTAAGGGTTTTTCTCTGTGGGAAACTTCAACAGGCTTCCTCTCACACTGCACAGCTGACAACAGAAATATCAGAATTTAATTGTCAGTCTTTATGATCACATTTAAAAGGTAGGTATAAAGTTGTGCCTCTTACAGTCCTGCTTCATGCCCAGAGCTTTACAGCGCTGCAGCCGACAGTACTGGCAGCGGTTCCTGTGCAGCTTGTTGATGGCACATTCTCCAGAGCCCCTGCATGTGTACACCAGGTTCTTCCTTATGCTACGCTTGAAGAACCCCTTACAGCCCTCACAGCTCACAGCTCCATAGTGACGCCCTAAAAGCAGGAGTTGAAAATACAGGCAAGTGTGTAAAAGAAGTGTAAGTTTCTGGGAAAAATAAAAAAACATTCTGTGTATTAATTTTGTTTTCCTGTAAATCCCACCTGAGGCTTTATCTCCACAGACAACGCAGTACTCAACAACAGATTTGATAGACTGATCTAAGCCTTCAGTCACAAACTGAAACATAGCACAACAGAAAAAGAATGGTTTATTACAGTTAACACAGCACATTTATGCTCAATATGTTTAGATTTTATTCCAAACACTGCCAGAAAGATGTCATCAGCGTATTCTGACAGACCTGGATCTGCTGTCCAGCCAGTTCAGGAGCAGTAAACAGCAACTGGTTAACTCCAGACCCGTCTGAAGAAGCAAGGATGACTTTATTAGGCGAGCCTTCCTGCTTGGCCAGAATCACCTTTCCGCCTGGCGAGTAGTCAGCGTTCGCTAAGATAAACTGCTGCTTTCCAGGAGAAGATGGCTCAAGTGCCGTGACAATCTGGATTTTCTGTCCAGTCTGCTGATCTGTAACAATCTTTTAAAATAAAACGTTCATAACATGAGGCAACATTTAGATTTTAAACACACAATGCATGAGCGCGATAAAAATGTTGGTACAAACTGTACACACGATGAATTCACCTGGATCCGATGTCCTAAAGCCATGCTGTCATCTGCTGAGACAAGATGAATCCTTTGAGACTGCCCATCCATTCTCGTACTGCAGACACCTTCTTCAACAGTCCTTCACATCAGTGCCCCATTTACACCTGCAGAGGGGGAGAGATGCAGTACTTTAGAGCTAATATTTAGTCTGTTTACTTTCCAGTTAGGTGATTATTTGTTGTAATTAATAAATGTAAAGATAAGGGAGGCACAAAAGAATGCAGTGCAACAAGAACTACGTTTAAACAGACAGCAGTATTTTAAACATTTACTTGACCGTACTTCACTAAAGCTTTTTAAAATGGAACCACCTTTTCCAATTACCTTGACCAGAATGCGTTCATGCTCAGTGAGTAATAATTAAATTAAGGCATGTGGAGTAATATTCATTATGTAGATATGCATCCACTTTAAATCACACAATTAGACCAAAGTTTTCTCAGCTTTTCTTATGGCACATTTGCCCTGGGTTCTAGTGAAGGAACATTTTAGCAACAGTTAAAGGGGAAAGACAATTATAATTTTGATGTAAAAAATAACATTCGAGTGATGCCACTGTATAGTTTTAAGTGGTATAAATACAATGAAGCAGTCCTTCTCAAATGGTGGGGCACGCCCCCCTGGGGGGGGGGGGGGGGGGCGAAGCAATGCCAGGGGGGCATGTGACCCCGGGGAATATTTTGCAGCAGGGACTGTTTTTTTCCACCATTCTCATTGTGTCAGGGTGCGTTCAGCAACTGTTTACTAAAATCCATCAACTCTCAGTCTGACTAATAATAAAGTTATGAACAAATATGTCTGTCTTGTCGTTTGGGGAGCCGTGATTGAACCGTGTCTCTGTGACTCCTCAGCTGGTGACGCTCTGGACGCTTGTCACCCACAGCACGCATGCGACAGAGAATAAACTCAAAGCGAGAGCGTTACCTGCTCCTCTTCCTCTTCTACTTTAACAATTTTTTTTAGTTTGTCAAAGCACAAATTTTGTGTTTTTTAATACAAAAGTAATGTTTAATAAATGTTAGGACTCTATTCTTTGCTAACAAGTCCTCTGCTCGGGACGCTTGTCACCCACATCATGCAGCAACAAAGAGTATAAACTCAAAGCGAGAGCGACACCTGCCCCCTCTTTCCTCTTGACAACATTTTTTAGTTTTATCGATTGTCAAAGCACAAGTTTTTTTTTTATTATTTGTTATAAAACAGATGTTTAACAAATGTTAGGACTCTATTCTTTGCTAACAAAATATATTTGAGAGCTGCAGGATCATGTTTCAAACCCTGCTTCAAACAGCTGTGCACTGCAAAAAGTGCTCATTGTAGCCATTAATCCTGACTTCCTCATTTTGATTAAAAAAATAAATAAACAGCACAAATTATTTTATTCATTTTTGTTTTGTAGGTCAAAGTGTTTTATATAACAATCCTGACTTACAATGTTGCTGATCAATTTGAATTTATTATTATTTATTGGTTGTATTTAATTTGATTGTTCAGTATCAAATGGTCAAAAATGTTTACAGTTTAAATAAGGATATATATATTTTTTAAATTTCAGGCAGATGCACTTTAAGCCTTTTCTGTTACAGACTATAAAACAATGTTAGTAATCTTTGTTGTAAGTATATTTATTTATTTAATGTTAATAAGGGTACAATGTTATGCAGAGGTGTAAGTATAACAATTTTTTAGACAAAGTATACTATTTACAGTCGCGGCGGAGAGTTGGGGGGTGCAAAATGTTTACTTCTTCCTGGGGGGGGGGGGGGATAACAATAACAGAAAATAATTGAGAAGCAATAAAGGCTTTGGTTTGAGGCCAACACAAAACATCAATTTCCAGACGTGTAAACATAATTTTTTTTTTAATTATGAGAATTTTTGATGATGATGAGGCTATACTTGTGAAAATAAAAAGCCTGAAATATATATTTTCAAAGGAGATGATCATAATGATGTGTAAGGTAATGCGGGATCACGTCAGTCAGAATAATAGTTTCATGCAGGGAAAGCTGCATTCTGGCATTTTGATTTTAAACAGAAAAATTATAATTTTCTTATGGTAATGGCTTAACTTAATGCAGCAATCTGACTTTTAATTTTAATTATTATTGAGAACTAACTACATTTTTCAGCTGTTAACAGGGTAATGCATTCATGGATGATTCATATCATATTCTGGGCGTCAATAAATGTCGGTGGCCTAGAGAAACCATTAAAGCTAACGCTAGCTAGAAACGACAAACATCTTATTTATCAGCTGTAGTGACATCGACCAGCCTGCATCCAAACACCAAAACAACCAATACACGATGCTGGCAGCCGGTCATTTAAAATCGATACGGAAGATAAAGAGATTTCTTTTCCTGTCGGTGAAAGGTCAACATTGAAGGGTTAAAGCGTGTTAGGGTGAAGGCCCTGGCTCGACGCTGAGGCGTAAAGCGGCTCTTCATGTCTGGAAATCACCGTCTCTGTTTTAGGGTTTGAAAGCTGACCCGTTCTCTTTTGTTTGTACTTTGATCGGCAAATGAGAAAGACGGTCGACGATTTATCTTCATAACCCGCTGTTGTCGCAAATTTCTAAGGAATAGCGATGTATTAAAATTAAATAGTGAAGTTAGCTCAGCAGCTAACGACGCGGTTGCTATTGTTGGCTAACTAGCCTGTCTGCTAATAATAATACTAGCTTTCAGTTTGTACAACCATTTGCACACAAACACATGAGGTTGGTATCAGAACAAATCGTTTAGACTACAGCACATTTCGAAATATGTGTACTTACCAAACAAAGTTTCCCTGCACCCTGACGGTACTGCTAACGAGCTAAACTAGCTACTTGCTACTCGATAGCACAGCAACTTCCTCACAGTGGACTCACTGCCTTCCTTCCTGTTGCAGCTAACTCGTTGCTCTTTTTCAGAACCACTCACTCGTACACAGCTGTAATTTTATTTTATTGGTATTTGTTGCTTTTCAGAATCTGATATGTCACAAACGCAATGCCTTTGATAAATTATTTTAAAAAATTTGCTGCAGTTGATGGGCGGGTCATAGTTCATGACCTTTTTGTTCCAGCAACACTGGTTTTGCGCATGCGCAGTTCGGCAGCGGTGTGGTCAAACAGCCATTGCAGGACATGTTCTGCATTATGCAACAGGCTACGAGTTTATTTTAAAAATGCAAGTTATTTAGCATCGCATGTCACATTTTCATAGTGAGATAAATATATTTGCATATATAGTACAGAGTACATATGATAAAATTCAATAATTATAAGCCAACATCAATCAAGTTGATTTAAAATAAAATACACCTTATAAACCAACGTAATGCATTGTTTCATTATTTTAATCAGTTTAATTGGAAGCAATGAAATGATGTAAAAGATAATAGAGATTGCCGGTAAATATGTTTTATTGTACCTTTGTCATAGAAAAACCCACACTGTTCACTGAAATTACCTGAAGTTGACAAAAATAAGACAAAATTATTAAACTAATGAACGTTGGACATTCTGAATTAAGGTTAAACTTTTTTTCTTTTTAAGAAAGTGGTCCTTGACAAAAAAATGATACCCTTAGAAAAGACTGAAAACTACAGTATTTGTCCATTGGTGTAGGTATGTCCTATAATCAACATTACTACATGCGTTTTCAGTGAAAAGTAGTCACCGTGTTGTTTAGAGTAATGGTGTTTAGCACACTGAACATTGTCGAAAAGGTGAGAGAGAAACTTGGAAATAAATGTAAAAAGTAACAGTAAGACCATCTGCAAGCAGCTTGATGTTCCTGTGACTGCAGCTGCACAGATTATTCACAAGTTTAAGGTTCACAGGGCTGAAGACAACCTCCCTGGACGTTTACGCAAGGACAACTGATGACAGACATGATATCACTGGAAAACAAAGCTCAGAACAACTTCCATAGAGATTAAAGGGTGAACTCTTAAGGCCACTGTCAGATCACACCTCAGTCATGGTTAGAGCCAGAGAGGACTAACAAAGACCACTGAGGACACCAATAATAAAAAGACAATCACTGCTGGACATGGACACCAGTGACCCGAAAAAGAAGAAGCGGGTAAAGATGATGAATGGAATTTGCCAAAAATCCATATTGCAAAGCCCCAAGGCAGGACTTTCCTTTGGAAGTCGAGACAAAGCTGGAGTTTTTTTTTTCTGCCAAGTCCCATGAGCACCATGTTCACAGAGCAAACATTAAACCAACTGGGCACAACCTACAGTGAAACATGATTGTCATGTGCACAAGTTGCTTTTGTCTGTTGGGTAATATGAAATGTCAAGATTTATTGAGGCATTCTGTCAGAGTCAGAGATTCTTTATTGTCATTCGCACCTCATGTGGTACATGTGGTGGAGCGAAATTATGTACACAGGGTAGGGCATTAACAGAGTACTCGAGTAATCTACACATCGATTGCTAGGACATCTATCAAGGTTAAAAATGTAACGTCGAGTATCCGTAGTGACGTCATATTATGTGACCACCGTAGGGGGCGGTGTTGCACTGTTGCAGGTCACAGAGTATGGTGTAACACCGGGTCCAATCCACCGAACCAGCTTCCTCTTGTTTCACAAACAAAAAGCAAAAAATATTTATCTCTAAACCTATAAAAAAAATGATAAACATATTAATATCTAAAACTAAACTTAATGCGCACCACAGCTGGCGGTGGTGCTGGGTGGTTGGTCGACCCCCCCCACCACCACTGTTAAGTTTCGTTTTTGACGTGCTGAATGTTTCTTCACGTTCGCAGTTTAATAATAATAACTAATAGTTTAGTTTTTCCTGTGACTTATTTGCAGTATGATAAATGGTAGGAGCATAATATACACTCCCAATGTTTTGTTGGTCTTTTTTTTGTAAATAATTACCTTTTTTTGCGGTTTTATTTATTTTTGTATCTTTAGATCTATGACGTCATCAAATACTCGAGTTCTACTCGGGTTTTATTATGTTAATGTCGAGTTTAAAAATTATATACTCGTTCAACCCCTAACACAGGGTCCCAGTTACATCCAACAATAAAATGTCTAAGAAAAACAGTAATAACATCTAAGATATGAACTAAGAAAAACATCAACTAAATATACACTAAGCACTCATAACATAAAACATTGAACATCAGCACAAACATGAACATGAGTCTGTGAGCAGATGTGCACACATGAACACATCAACATTGAAACAGATCAGCAGCAACATGAAACAGATCAGCAGCAACATGATATGGTTTTTCACAGTGATTATTCTAGTTAGAGATTCATGAGTCTAACAGCCTCAGGGTAGAAGATGTTCCTCAGTCTAGTGGTTCTACACTTAATGCTCCTCAACCTCCTTCCTGGGGGGAGTGGGGCAAAAAGTGTATGTGCTGGGTGAGTGAGGTCCTTCATGATGCAGGTGGCCCTCTTCCTGCATCTAGAGGTGTAGATGTCTGTGATGGTGGGGAGGCTGACTCCGACAGACTTCTGTGCAGCCTTCACCACTCTCTGCAAAGCTTTTCTTTCTGCAGCTGTGCAGCCTCCATGCCACACATTGATGCTCGAGCACAGGATGCTCTCCACTGCACACCTGTAGAAGGAGGTGAGGGCTGAGCTTCCCAGACCAGCTCGTCTCAGCCGTCTGAGGAAGTAGAGTCTCTGATGAGCTTTCTTGATCAGGCTGGTGGTGTTGTTGCTCCAGCTGAGGTTGTCATTCATGTGTACACCCAAGTACTTGTAACTGGAGACCACTTCCACCGCAGATCCTCTTATGTTCAGGGGGGTGTAGGTGTTTTTGTTCCTTCTAAAGTCCACAATCATCTCCTTTGTCTTCTTCACATTGATGTGAAGGTTATTCTCTTTGCAATAGCTCTCCAGGTGTTCCACCTCCTGCCTGTAGCTGGACTCATCATCGTTTGTGATGCATCCCACCACCGCTGTATCATCTGCAAACTTTACAATGTGACAGCCTGGATGGGCAGCTGCACAATCATATGTGAGCAGAGTAAACAGGAGGGGGCTCAACACACATCCCTGAGGAGAGCCAGTGTTGAGGGTTATGGTGGAGGAGGAGAGGTTGTGGATCCTCACTAACTGTGGTCTGTTTGTTAAGAAGTCTAGTACCCAGTTGCAGATGGAGGGGCTTAGTCCTAGTGTGGATAGTTTGTCCATCAGGGTTTGGGGGATCATGGTGTTGAAGGCGGATGTGAAGTCCACAAAGAGCATACGGACGTAAGAGTTTTTCTGCTCCAGGTGGTTGAACGCAGTGTGGACCACAGAGGAGATTGCATCCTCTGTTGATCGGTTCTCATGGTATGCATACTGATGAGGGTCCTCGTTGATGTTGATGGTTGTTTTGATGTGAGTCATGACCAGTTTTTTGAAGCATTTAGCGACTATCGGGGTGAGGGCCACTGGCCGATAGTCATTCAGACCAGTCACTGTAGAGCTTTTTGGGACTGGGATGATGGTGGCAGTCTTCAGGCAGGTGGGAACTGTCTCAAGGTAAGTGAGGTGTTAAAGATGTCTGCCAGCACCTCACAGAGCTGATCAGCACATTCCTTCAACACTTTTCCGGGAATGTTGTCTGGGCCGGTTGCCTTGTACGGATTAATCCTCCTGAATGTACTCGTTACTTCTGCTGAGGTCACGTTGAGATGCTCTTCATCCGGTGGTGAGGCGAGTCTGTTGCTGGGTGGTCTGTTCGGGTCTTCAAAGCGTGCATAGAACTTGTTGAGGGCATCAGGCAGAGATTGGTCTTTGGGGCATTGTTAGCTCCTGCCTTTATAATCTGTTATACACTTAATGCCCCTCCACATGCTCCGAGGGTCTTGTGAGATTAATTGACCCTCGATCCTCTTTGCATATGTGGCCTTGGCCCTTGTAATACCAGCAACCAGCTCTTTTTTTGTCCTACTCAGCTCCTCTGAGTTTCCAGATCTGAAGGCAGTGTTCCTGGCTTCCAGCAGGGTGCGCACCTCTGCATTCAGTCAAGGTTTTCTGTTTGGGTAGCTTTTAACATTTCTGATAGTGGAGACTGTGTCAGTACATGTACTAATGTAACCCAGAACTGAGGATGTGTATTGGTCCAGATCAAGCGATCCTCCATTTTCAGCAGCTTCTCTGAAAACCTGCCAGTCTGAAGTGAAATGTGCTGCCAGTGTTAGAAAGTTTGGTCTCACTCACAGATCAGGGATCCAGCAAGATACTGAACCAAAACACAACTCCAAAACAAGAATGGGTTCTGAAGTGTCCTTATGAGCCCTGATCTAAATCCAGCTGAATGTCTGTGGAAGCAGCTGAAACATGCAGTCTGGAGAAGGAACCCGAGACAGATGGAGCTGGTCGCTCATGAGGAGTGGTCCAGATTACCTGCGGACAGGTGCAGAAGTCTCCGAGTTACAGAAATCATTTTACAACAGCGATTGCCTCTAAAGGTGCAACACAATATTAAAACCACCTTTTTGTCTAGGACAGTTGTTTTTTTATAGATGTGTTTTCATAACTCAAAAGCAATGTCTGATATTTAGTGAATTATATATTTAGTCAGTTTTCAAGTAATTTTGATTGTGCAGTTGGAGGACATGGAGGTGGAGCGATGACAGAAGACAGTGAGATGGAGGGTGACTCGCTGAGGCGACCCCTGAAGAGGGAACAGCCGAAACAAGAGGCAGCACACAACAAACTGTGTTTTCATACTTTTTAATAGGCGGTTGAAATAGATTATGGCACAAATGACTGTGAAACAAAAATATAGAATTTGATCATTTCGGTGAAAATTTAAATATCCTTCATTTACCACCATCTACCCTCAGTGTAAAGTTACATATATGCATGAATTAAGTGCAAAATACTAGTAAAGTTATTTTTCCAACAGTGAGCTTCCTTACAGTGCTCCAACGAAAGGCGAACTCTTCTAAAACTCTTTAGTGTGCATAGTGTGGCTTTTCTGCTCCAACTTAAAAATAAAAACGTTCAAAACTTAGAAAATTGTCCTCACCTCAAAAAAAAAAAAATATATATATATATTAAAAAAAAAGATAGGTAGGCCAACTTATCAACCCAACAAGCTTTCATCCACAAAACTGTGCCACAGAAACCAACTCAAAAGAACAACAGTATAAAATATCTACAAGATTATTGTGTTTATATGCTGGAGATAAAACTGTACAGATCATGGCCAGGAGAACTTATATTAACTAAAAAAAATAAAACTACATTATTGCTTTACAAACAGTATTCTTACTGTTTACAATAAGTAACAAAAGTAAAACAGATGTTTGACTAAAATGTTTCACAAGGTTCAGAGCGCTGCAGCAAAACGCTTCAGACACGTTGAATTGGTACGATAAAACATACATCGCCAACAGATGTTACAACACGGTGGCTTCTTTAAATGACTCGATCCATCTGTTAAAAAAAAAAAAAGATACATTATTGGTAATATTTGTGTCACAACATGAAACAATATCCAGAATCCTTTTTTCTACTCCACCTTTGAGCTGTTTGGACGTCGTTAGCTTTAAAAATGTAGTAAAGCTTGTTTTGATGGTAGAGCTTAAACTGCATGCTCCTTGTAACTTCAGCTTTCAGCACGAAGCCCAGCAGTGGCTGACTCTCTAAGGCGGCAACGTCCTGGAATTTAAAAAGTAAGAAAAATGACAAGTTTCAGATCAACGACTTAACCAAAGCGTCTTGATACCGAGCTTCAGACGACTGGTCGTACCTCACTGGCAGCGTAGGTGTACAGGACTTTGTCTTTGATGACGAACCACAGCCTCTTCCCCTGCTTTTTATCCAACTTGGACCTCATCAAGTACCCACTCATGGAGGAGGTGCCTGTGTTTGCAGTCACCTAGAACAAATGAAAGCCATCCAATTAATTTTCTGGCCTTTAAAGTCAAAACTGTGATTGGATGGAAATAGTTTATGATAGAGGAGCAATTTGTAGAGCTGCCTCTCTCAGCAAGCAGGTTGCCCCGGTTCAAATCCCAGACCGGGACCTTTCTGGGTGGAGTTTGCATGTTCTCTCTGTGCATGCGTGGGTTTTCTCCAGATACTCCAGTTTCCTCCCACAAACCAAAAACATGCACGTTAGACTGATAGGTAACTCTAATTGGCTCTAGGTGTGAGTGAGAGAGTGAATGGTTGTTTGTCTCATTTGTCTCTATGTGTCCCTGTGATGGACTGGAGACCTGTCCAGCGTGTACACTGCCCCTCACACAGACTGCTGGAAATGAGCACCAGTGACCCCGTGACCCGAAAAGAAAAATGCAGGTAAAGACAAAGTGCGAGGGAGGGAGGGATGGATGGATGGATGGAGATAGGTGATGCAATTATCACCCACAGCCAAGAAAGATAATGATTTTGCGTGTGCTCGTGCGTGTCTGTGCATCTCCATACCATTAGCAAAATAACTCATGAACCAAATCAGATTACAACGGATTCATTTTTGGACTCAACCCAGTTCAAGATGGCCACCACAGCTGATCAACCTTATCCAACACAAAAAATGGCTATAATTCTATTTCACTAAAACGGAGCTAAACTTGCTGTGGTAGTAGCTCAGCACATACTTCAAGCACCAACAAATCTCAATATTGTACAAATTTGCACAGAACATCGTTTGCAAGTTTGATCAAAACAACCTTCTCATCCTCAGTCCAACATTTTTCAGTCAGGTCATCTGGACAGTTTCTTTTTTTTTGTGCCAAAACATTTTGCCTTCGATCCAGAAGGCTTCATCAGTCAAGGAAACGCACAACAAAACTGATTCTTCCCCCAACAGCTTACTCCAAAGAGGAACAAACCAGTTCTGCTTGTGATAAGATGGTCTCTTTGGTACGCCCCCTCCATCATTGCTGGCCCTCTTCCTTGTTGACAGTCGTGTCAAGCTGGTTGAAAACAACAAAGTCCATGCTCAATAATCCAGGTATACAATCAAACATAAAAAAA